TTCTTTAATAGCAAAGTAATTCAATTCTATGTGTTTAGCACATTTTGAATACTTGTCGTTCTTAGTGAAGAAAAATGTCACGGAGTTGTCACAGTAAATTTTCAGTAGCCTAGCAATATTGTCGACAATTTCAAGTCTTGAAATAGAGTTCTATAGCCTCAAAGCATGCCATAAATTCAACCTCCATAAGGGAAGCAGCAATATCGGTCTACTCCGCACTTTTTCATGGGATTGTTCCTCTTGCTAATAGGAACAAGTAACCAAATATGGATTTCCTTCTATCAACACAACTGACAAAATTCGAATCTGAATATCTAATCACCTCAAGATGAGATGAACTTTAATAAGTGAGCATGTAATTTTTTGGTCCTTGCAGATACCTCAACACTTGCATTGCAACTTTTCAGTGATCCATTCCTAGATTACTTTGGTACCGACCTAACATTCCAACAACAAAATTGATGTCTAGCCTAGTATAAGTCTATGCATACATGAAACTCTCAACAATGGATGCATATGAAATTGCTTCCATTTGTTTCCGTTCCAATTTATTCTTTGGACATTATATAAAATTGAATTTTTCTCCCTTCTGAATTTGAACAACACTTACAGAGCAAATTTTCATTTTGAATCTCTCTAAAACTTTATTTTCCTATCACATAAATTGTCTCTCCAATAACTTTCATTTCAAAGTTCTTCGAGAATAATTTCTTGATCTCATGCAACATGCCAAGATCATTTTTAGCAAGCAAAATGTCATCAATGTACAAGACCAAAATTATAAACTTGCTCCCACTAGTCTTCATAAATATACATTGGTCAACGATGTTTTCTTTAAAATCAAAAGAAGTAATGGTATCATAAACTTGAGGCACCATTGACAGGAAGCCTGTTTGAGTTAGCATATTGATTTCTTAAGTTTACATACCATGTGTTCCTTCCCTTCAAATGAAAATCCTTGAAGTTGATCCATGTAAACATCTTCCTCTAAATCCCCATTCAAAAAAGCAATTTTCATATCCATTTCATGTAGCTCTAGATCATAATGAGCCACCAAGGCCATAGTGATTCTTAAAGGGTCCTTTTTAGACATCAGAGAAACGGTTTCTTTAAAATCAATGCCGACTTTCTAAATAAAGCCTTTAGTGGCAAATTTGGTATTATGCCTTTCGATATTGCCATTTGAGTCGCATTTGATATTTAAAACACATTTACACCTAACTCTTTGGGACCAAAAGTCAAATCAATAAGACTTCAAACTTCATTATGTTTCATAGACTTTCACTCTTCTTTCATGGCTCTACCAATTTGGCAGAATTAATACTTTCTATGGCTTGTGAAAATGAAATTAGATCTTCACCAATTCCTAAATCAAAATCTGATTCTTGTAGATATACCACATAATCATCAGTAATAGTAGACTTTCTTTGCTTTGAGACTTTATTAATGCTATTTGTTATGGTTTATCTACTGTACGATAATTTCATTAATGTGAGGTGTTGAATTATTCACTTGTTGCTCTTGTAGGTTGTTCAAATGTCCAACAACTAAAGGAACTACAACTTTAGTAGGAATTTGGAGGTACATGAAATTGTTCCCTAACTCCTTGAATTGCGACTATTTTCAATGAACTTAGCTTTTCCAGATTCTGCAATTCTCGTACTATGACTAGGACAATAAAACACATAGCCTTTTGACTTTTCTGGATAACCAATGAAAGATCACTAGTTGTTTTTTAGTCCAATTACTTTTCATGATTATAATTTCAAGTTGTGTGCTTCTTGTGTCTGCTTTCTTCTTTGTATGTTTGATTTATTTTCCTTTTATACATTCCACACATAGATCAAGATTAATAAAATCTAGAATATGAAGGATTTAATTTTTTACCAATCTTTGTAATTGTTCTTTGAATATGTGACCCAAACGTTGATGCCACAAGTAAGCTGATCATTCATTTACTGAACTTCATTTCATACTAATATTCTGATGCAAGGTTAGAAGAGTTTAAGCAATGCTATTATCAGGTTTCAGTTTATATTATCCTTAAAAAATAATACCAGAACCAATAAAATGATTTTGCTTAAATAAACCGAAATGTCCATTCCCAAATTTAAAAGAGTATCCCAATGTATCAAATCAAGATAAAGAAACTAAATTATGAGAAATAGATAGAAAATAAAGTATTTGCTATAAATCCAAATGATGTTCAATATCTAAAATGAAGCAATAAGTTCCAATTGCTACAACTGAAACTTTGACTCTGTTTCCCAAGAACACAAATTTTTCATTTTGCTTTATGGTTTGGGTCGGAAGGAATCCTTGCATCATATTAGAGATACGAGGAACTTCAGCTAATTAGATTCAAAACATACAAAAAAAAATTAGGCTTGTCATTCTTTTCGAACCACGCCTTGCGTCTATGGCAGTCTTTCTGGAAGTGTCCAAATTTCTTATAGAAGTCGCTTCTCATTCGTTATGCTTCTTTTGTGGATTTGGGAAAAAGACTCATTGATCTTTAGTGGTCCGTCCGTTCTCTTTTCCATCCCTTGATTCCTTTTACCTTTCTTTTATGCTCTTTTATCATTTATGATATGAGATGAGCAGAGTTGGTTCCTTATGAGCTCCCTAGTTCTTAAATCATTTTCTCTTCTTGAGCAAATATTTTGTGAAGTTCATTCACGTTTCACTTATCTTTCAAAGTGCTATAGTTCATTTGAAATTGATCATATTTAGAAGGCAATGTGTTTATGATAAACTGCACCAAGAAACTATCATCCACACTCATCCCCATATTGTTCAGTTTTGCTGCTAAGCTTGTCATCTCAATGACGTGCTCATGCATGGTATGGATAACATCAAATTTCATGGTGGTTAGTGTTTCCATTAATGTACCATGAACTGACTTATCATGAGATTGAGAACATTATTCCATCGACTTCATAAAGTCCTTAGCAATTTCAGTTCTTGGGAGAATAGGCTTGATATTGTTCGTTACCGTCATCCACATAAACATCAGGCTCAGTCTGTTCAATCTTTCCCACGCCTTATGGAAAGCTCTACTCAGGGCTGCTTTCATCAATAAGAGCAATAGGTTTCTCATCTTGAACAACCAGATCAAGGTCCAGAACACTTAAGTGAAACTGAACTTGTCCATACCATTCTAGATAATTAAGCCCATTGAATATGGGAATAGATGAAGCATGTGAATGAAGAGAAACATTAACATATGTTGCAAAATACTTAGAATGCTCACATATTTGAGTCATAGCAAGATAGATTCAGATAGTATTCCTTTAAACATTAATTATATACATTGAAGTTTTCCTTTGGGTGGTCCAACTATGTAAAAAATTGATTGATGCTTAATTTCAATTTCACATAATTGGCAATTAGGTACACTGCAATTAGACATGCTCACTATTTTTGGATATTCTAATCAAACATACCAATTAACCACAATTATATTTATGATTATAAAATAACTAATCAATCTTTGGTTGATCCTTTCATACTTACACACACATTATGTCATCTCAATAGTAATATCACATAATCATGGATAATTGAAAATATTTTTTTAATTTGACACATAAGAACTTTCTAATTTGGCCACTTGGGTGACTAACAAATTATACATACTATAGATATCGAATTAAATAATTACAACAATTATCAATACCAATAATGTTGTTTACTACATGCAATAATTTGTAAACTTTAAATCAAATTAACAGAAATGTTGTCATTAGTTTAATTTGCCACTATAAATACACTTACTCATTAATTATGTTTACAAAAAAATAAATTTACTTCTACTATTGTGCTATCTCTCACACACTCAACTTGCATATAACATTAAACTAGAGGTAATAAATAGGCTGTGAATTTGAGATGGAAATATGTGTGTGTGTACTAGGTGTAAGCAACGTGCAATGCACGTTTGTTTAGTTTATATTTAATAATTTTGTTTAAGGATTAATTTATTATTAATAAAGATGTAATTTTTTGGTTAAATAAATAATTAATCATGTAATGTTTATGTAATTGATAAATAATTAGATGTGTGATTTTGAT